CATGTCCTCTCAGCCGCTAAAATTACTATTGCCAGTTCCTGGTTTTCCAAAAAAGTCTCCTTTCAGGCCACTAAAAACAGAATCCACTGGATCTTCTCTCATGAGAAATTATCCGCGCGCCTGGATGATCAAATGCCGAAGTTTGAAAAGATATGGGAGCCCTGTATAAGACACTTCCTGCCACCGACCTTTGACACACGTTTAATCACCTCATGATCTCTCCCCTTCCTAACTACATGGCCGACTCGCGAGTGTAACGGACCGAGCGTCAAAACCTTCCTAATCCCCCCCTCCCTCCACCCTATCCCCCCCTAACTATCCCTCTCCCCTGATCTTCTCCTCTCCTGGTCTGCTTTGACTGCAATGGTGGGATCCCCACCAAAAACCTCCTCACTTTCTTATGCACAGATAGGTGATTGCTACAAGTATGTCATGATTGTTGTAATGTCATCTGTTACACAGCAATACCAATGTCTGCATTACTGTATATGCACACGCACGATGTTCGTGTTAGTGCATTGTTTATTCAATACATAACTGAAAAATAAAAACTGTTTTGAAACTAAAAAAAAAAGTAAATGTCTTCCCTTGGGGTGCTCATTGTCCTGTGTTTTGATTTCTTTTTAATTTTTTTGGAACAGATGGTTAGGCAAGAGCAGTACTTCATTATTTGGATGGCATTTTATTTGTTGGGCATAATGATTTATGGATCGATGCTGATCGATGCAGCTGATATGGGTTGTCTTATCTATTGTTTAATAATGTACGCATTTTAGCAACAGGAGGATTTTTCTACAGACTAACAATAATGGTGTTTTGTATGCAATGAACTGCCTTTCCATTCCATTAGTAATTAGGCTACTTAGGCATCTTGTTCCTTGCTTGAACTTTAATGTTTGACTTAAAGCCAAATCTTGCCGGGATTGCTTCAGGGAACTGGTCCCCTTGGTAGACAGCAGACATCTATGTTGCCCTGAACACTTATACCTTCTTATCTGCAATTGACTTCTACTATGGTTGAAAGTTCCATTCCTAAACCAACCTGGTTTGTCTATGCAACTGCTTGGTGGAGGTAGCTGGATTTCATTCTTGTACTGGGTTTATCTCCTGGATACTGCAGAACTCATGCTTGCTTTTCTCTGTAGGATCTGTTAAACTGGCTGTTCACATAACCATTTGCCAACATTACTAGCAGGTGTTTCTTTTTTTAGGAAACTAAATAATGCTTATCTCTGCAAATCATATCTTACTATGAAACAATTCCTGTAAGGCCTTAAGAAACAATGTTCTGACTCCTAAAGCTAGATCTCCCATAACCTTTGTTATGTTGTGTGATATTGTTGCAGAGTCAGTTTGTTCTACTGCATTTTCTGACTCTATTTCTAGCTGGTGTCTTATTATGATGTCTAAACCTTGGATACTGTAAGGAGAAGGGTCAATAATATGTTGTGCAGCTTTACGCCCCAACCTTTTCCATTGTACCACTGTGAATTGGAAGGTTTTATCAGAGGCTTGTTTCGGGAAGATTTAGTGCATTTGATTAACATAGGTAACAACATTCTGAATTCTTATCTGCAAAGTATGATTGATCTGAATGCAGTGGTGGGGAGAGCCAGGTAAAAAAAAAAAACTTCCGCTTGAGTCTTAAAGAGTAAGCATATCGGACAGTTACTAGTTGGATTTGGTTTATGCTTAAAGCCGAAGTGTAGTGTAGGCATACAATACCTTCCCCCCCCCCACCATTCCCTGATCAACACACAATTAAGGACCCAGGGATGTCATCACTGGGTATGTCTACTGCTCTTTGCTCTGAGAGTGGTGCTAGGGGCCAGCAGGCTGTAAACACCACAGATTTGTGCCTTGTATCCTTTCAAAATATTTATATAAAATAACACTGTCCCTGGATCCCTTTAGTTGCCACTACTTCTCCCTGCTGGCCACTGGGTGCTGCATACTTTTGCTGTGCATTCTGCTGATTTGTTGCAGCCACATCTAAAGGGATGTCAGGGATGTGTTGTTTCAAAAAAAAGCTCCATTACAAATTGGTTGACTGTGATTGTTGGCACAGCTAAAGGGATGTTCTTTCACATAAAGCTCTGGAACAGAATGATTGACGGCATAAAAAGTTATTAAGAACAGTGAGAAGGGGCCCAACAACCATATGGATCAGGGGAGAAGTAATTAATTAATCATGAAGGTCATTCAGACAGGAAATGGAATGAACTTAAGATCGCTGCTGCAGCTCTAAAGGGTTATATTGTGCAGATGCCAAATTTTAGGAAACTGAGAGGATTCAGTTTCAACACAGGAGAGTACTTGCTACAGGTGTGGAAAAAGCTGCTAAGTGTTGCTAGGAAGATGTGCCTACGGGATGCGGTTGTTGCTGACCAGAACTTCAATCAACTGACCAGCAGATTGGAGACTCAATTCTCATCAGGTAAATAGCTGTCCAATAAGTATATACTTTGTCCTTTATATATCCTGTTACTGTGCAGCTGTCACTAGTTCACTCAGCACTTTCAAAAACTAGATCTGGATTTCAGATATATTTCCCCACCCTCCCCTATTTTCTTGTTTGTTGAACCTTATGGAGTAATGCTACCCATTACAGAATTCAGAGTTTTAAAGATTATGAAGGGGTTTACCAAAACTAGAGCATAAAAAATTTGAAGCAGCTGTTTAAAGCAACCAATCAGCTTCTATCTTTCATTTTCAAATCTTAACTGAACAAACTGAAGAGAGAAGCTGATTGGTTGACATAGACAACTGGTCCAGATTCTGTCTGCACCAGTTTTGATAAATGCCTCCCTATGTGCATTGACAAGTTACTTGTTGAATTTGGTTTATGTTGTTATCTAAATTTGTATTATTTAATTTATAAATAATCTATTTTAAAAACAGTAAAGGGGCCAGAGCCTAAAATGTTCCCACATTATGGTGCTGTGTGTTTTATTTCTTATTTCATATGCCAGATTATTTTATATTCATGGGACAGAGCAAATGGGGTGTACATGATTACTGAGCTATGGGTACAAGGATCTACATCACTGGCTTCATCATCACAACACATCAATGGCCACAACCCATGATAATGATAGCTACCGTGATATCCCAGCCCCTTTGGACTTCCTCTGTACACACTATGTACATTGTATCTGGTTTCTCTAATCCATTAACAGGATATCTCACCTATAGTGCACCTATGCCAGGTGTGATTCAGCAATATCTTGAAAATAACAGCAGTGATGGGTTTAAAGTTCAGACTTTATCAGAAATTGCCAAAAATAAGGAAAGTCATCTCCTTGACAGAATCCCTGACTCATATGAAGAAGGATTGAATGGCTTTTCAGAACCTATACAGGGATAATACCATCTTCATCTTTTCATCTGTATCTTTATTTTTTCATCTGCATGACAAAGATGGTAAGTTTTTCTTCACCACTATGTACATTCTTATACTGTACATATTAAGTAATTATGATCTCATCTAATTATTGAATAAAGTGTGTTTAATGACAAAATAATAATAATAATAATAATAAATAAAACAAGTCCTTATGCTAACATCAGCTGCTTAAAAGGAAAAGTAAATATATATATATATTTTTTTTTTTTCTTAAAAACAGATACTATTTAACATTTAAAGGACAGCCACACTTACATCCCTTACAGGTTCAGGACCCCTACTCTATTGCAAAATTCAACAGGACAAACCCATGATTTGCTGTGTTCCCTAGACAGCAAGTTTACATTGGCAGGAATTCTGCTGGAAAAAAGGACATGGTACATTAAATATTTTATTCCATTCATCTGAATATGAAAGCACGGTGTTAATAAACACCATTTAAATAAGCTTCCTAGGATATTAGCTCTCTATTAAGAAACAGTGGTTTTACTTTTGTCATTGCCTTGAAAGCGGCAGAACTAATTTAGCAAGATTCCCAAGAGTCTGCTGTATGTGATCTTGGACAGAGCACATTTTCATCTGAAAGAAAAATGACACTAAAAACTCAATATACTTTTTATGCTTTGGTTAACCACAAACATATTCCTTACAAAGCAGATGAGTGTAAACACACGCTAGCAATAATTTTATACTCATCTTTTCTTTCTTTTATATTACTAGCAAGATACTAACTAACCCCAATAACCAAAAAGAACAATATTCTGCCAAAGAGCTTACATTCCAAAAAAAGTACAAACATACCTAATGTAACACAGGCAATGCCAGCATGCAAGTCTCTGAATTGCTTACATAATTGCATAGATAAAAGATGTACACACTTGTTCCAAACAGATAACTAATCCAGAAGCCCATCTTCCCTGCAGCTAACTTTCTCTATAAACATGCACTGAACAAGTGCCCCATTATATAAATGTGTAAGCCAAGTGCTGAAAATGTATTTCTAAGTATCCAACATGAAAGGAGAGCAAATCAAAAGATTTACAGCCTCCTCTAATCCCATCCCAGCATCTCCCCTTCTTTTAGCTGTAAATGCTTAGCTACTGTGTGACAATGACATCCTGTTGATTTATAAAGTCAGACACAGCAGTGAGCTCCATTCCAGTAAAACTTCTCCTGGCCTCTGGTGCCACCTAGCCACAGTATTGCAATCCCACTATCATAAAATTCAGCACCAAATGCTAATAGTACAAACCATGCTTTTATCATGACAATCCTCAAGCAGAGGGAATACTCTGTGCGTGAGATGACATCACTTTATATGTGGCTCTGTAAGCCAGAGTCTAATACTATGTACCACTGCACCTTGTCAGTTTTTTAGACATGTATATATACATCATATTCCTACATCGTTGACATCAAGCCAGAAAGTATAAAGGGACTAACTATTAAGTAGCAATGTATAGTAACCCGTGGCAACCAGTGATCATCTTTGTCATTCTAACTGCTCTAGAATAATTGAAATCTGACAGGTTGCTATGGGTTACTGCACAGAAAATAAAACGTTGTTTCAATCCAGAGTTTTACTGGTACTTACTGTAAAAAACGTATTCTGTGTAACTGGACCAGATCTTGTCATCAGTGTACTGATTAACGAATGAAGCTGTTACTGATGAGTTGCAAGCCACCATTTGGAATCCACATTCTGACAGCATGTCAAAGGCTCTCTCTAGATGTTTGAACTTGAGATAAAACCTGGAGGTGTATTTTTCTGGGGCTCGGTCTGGATCCCTGCTTTCATTAAGCGTTTCTCCAAAAACCTCTTTGGCTAGAGAGATTCGGCCACAAACAAGAATTCTTGGAACTCTCCGAAACTTGGCGTCTGCTTGGCTTTCTCGACCCATGGTGCAAGATCCTCGGTAACCAATAGTAATGAAGCCCCATTTCTTATCTGAAGGCATTAAAGATGATGATGGACATATTCTGGTTTCACTACCTTGGGAGGCTTCTTCAAAGTCACTGTGGCAGTAATCATCTGGGCTTTGTTTCACTTCATCAGGTGCTAAGAGTTTTACTAGTTCTGGCAGTAGAAAGTATTCCGCTTCTCTTTTCAATCGCCCTTTTTCTGGAAAGTGATCTGGCAAGACCACCTGCCGGTCCCTGAGATAGTCAAGTACATACCGGAATAGGAACCCATCTCGATCAATAAAGAATCGTCCTTTGACATCTTTGGCCAGGTCATTTATAGAGTCTCTTTTGCAGGTGAACATTTTCCATAGCAGTGAATGGGGTACACTGGTTAAGGTCGAGTGACGTGTAAAGTAAACTTGCCCTCCAACATTTAATTCAATTACCTCTGGGAAAGATTGAAAAACAGCCCCTTGGTCTCTAGGTGGGGCATAAGTTCTGCAGTTTCCACTCAGTGCCATTTGTGCTTGATAGATGCTCCTAGCTACAGTACAAACAGTTCATGAATTGTAAAATGGGAATGAAGAACTGCAATGTAGATCCCCAAAGTGCAAGAATTCGCTTCTCAGTCTTGAATTTGTAATCATGAAGTCAATTGCAAGTGAGCATCAGCTTATAGATTAGTTTGTGGAACTTTTAAGACCAGTTTCACCGGAGTGATAACTTCCTAAAAAAATATATAAAATGTGTGCATCACTCTGAGCCCACTGAATGCAAGGTCATGCTGTATGTACAGACATTTTAAAATCTGGAAAAAAAAAGAAAATCATTAGTAAAGTTAGGAAGCCTAACAATCATTGAAATACATCAGGACATATAGCAATTTGAACACAGTATTTTTTTACATAGTTATCTATATAGTTATATTTCTAGATGTTATGATAGCAAACATACAGACTACGTTCATATACCTCATGCTGATTTTATGTACTTTACACCAGACAAAAACTGCATTTTAAAAAACAGAAATGCAATTCAAATGCATAGCAATGCCATATGTTCTCTTTTCCATAAGCTACAATTATGGGATGCTAGTTCTATGCCATAGTACATTACAGAAAACAGTTACAATACCTGAGTTGCATAATCCTTCCTCGATGAAAAAAGGAGGTCATTTTATATAAACACAAGTACAAATCAATATAAAAATACTAATTAACAAAAGTCTCAGAAAGCGGTTGCTCTTATCAAGTGTAGAGAGTTATCGACTCCTGGGTGGCAGCACAGTGACGAATTTTCAGATGTAGCGATCGGCAGATAAAATGCACACTGAAAAAAAAGACTAGCTTGTTATTAAAGGGAAAAAAAAAATATTACTCCAGATGGGATGCTGCCTTTTAAATGCTTTCCACAAAACTCTCAGCCAGACTGCATGGGGAAGGATTTACGTTTGATACTCCAAGTTCCAACAGGAACACAGAGGTTAGCATACTTCCAGGTAGGCTGATAGAAAAAAAAAAGAAAGGACGGGAGCAGCCAGAGCAAGCAGCAATAGGAGTAGAAGCAGAAGCAGCTGATATTCAGCTGTGGGTGCTCTGGTGCTTGGTTGCTGAGCCTGCTCTAGCTGCTGAGCTGGGTGGATCCACAGTTCCCAGGGCTGTTCTGAGATGGTGCTATTTCAGCAGTGCAGGGAAGAAACCAACCAGGGAAATAACTATTACATCATCTTAAAGGAATATAGCTGCTGGAGAAGAATAAAAGAGCAGAGGATGTATTTAAGAGCAGCACCGTGTTTAGAGTCAGGCTTGCTTTAAACAGGTAAACGCCAATCCTCTGCAAGCCTAAAAATTGTAAAGCACTGTTTAAGCTGTCCCTTTCCCAAGGGTGTTTTAGCCTATTAACCTCCATTCAAATGATCACATCAAGCATTGATTCTAATTGGTTATGCTGATGCAGATCACAGCAATTAAAGACAAAGCTTCATGAGCAATTATAGTTTTACCTCTCTAATAGCAAATAGCACACATATTGTCATCTGGGAGACACTTAGCAGTATTTAAAGTTGTCATCTGTTCATCTTTTTATTGCTTACCGTTTTAATTTCCTCTATACATATTGTGTACGACAGATCTCTAACCATCCAGAATAGGGAACAGAAAAAGCCCCCCTGGCACTTCCATCAGGGATAATTTAGTACGCTGATCATGATCAATTATTTTTTAACACCAGTTCAAACCGGGACAATGTATAATGCTAAAGCAGAGATTAGAAGCCATTAGCACCACAGTTGCAACTTAGTTTAGTAATTAGCCGAGCACTGCGAGAGATGTATTCTAGTAGCAGCTGCAATGTCTGCCAAATTTAATCTCATTTCAGCTAAAATACATAACTCTCTGCAAAACGTGTGCATTTATAAAAAAAAGACATTTCCTTTCTTAAAAACAAAAATTCAATGAATCTATAATATAACTGATTTAAAAAAACAAGGTGTTAAAGGCATCTCCATATAACACTGAAAAAGTAGTTTGGGACAGAGCACATGAATCTAGAATATTCACAGCGCATTGGCTGCATTGTGATATTGCTTTTTTAAAGAGGAACTCCAGGAATTAACAAAATTAACCCCCACACTGCACAGGTTAACTGCTCATTTTGTTCTATGGGCTGGAATAAAAAGGTGTACTCACCCCATCCCCAGTCTTGCAGCAGTCAGTGCTCTCTTCTCTCCCTTATGCTCTGCGTCCTCACATCTAATGCAGGTGAATGGACTTGCATTAGACATGATGATGTCAGCCCACCAGAGCCAGAGGAAAAAGAGGCTTTGGGGACCAGTCTCGCAGCCAGGCAGGATCGAGGATCAGGTTAGTATATCTTCTTTAATCCAGCCCCTGGACAAAAAAATCTAAATGTGGGTTAGTCTATCCATTAATATACTTGTGTTGTTTTACTAAAGGAGTTGTGACTCAAAATATCAAGCAAAAATTCCCTCCAATTATCCCATCATGTGAAAAGAACCTGCACGCGATCGGGTATTTAAAGTGAACAGGAAATTGCTTTCTACGGGATTGGATAATTGAAGTGAATATTCACACAACTGTTCTGTGAGTGAAGATTCCCAACTCTAATTCAGCCTCATTATACTTCACCATTTTGAATGAAATTGTATCTTGACTTTATTCATAGTTGGTGCTATGTCTGTTATTTTTCAAATTTCTATAACAGACAAAGCTACCCAGCAATAGTGGCAGAAAGAGGGTTGAGATACACCATTTAACACTGACAGGGGGGCTTACAGTAGTCAGGTTTTATTGATATAGTTAAAACCTTTATCCCAAAAGGAACAAACATGTCACTGCAACTTCTTAAAAAGTGTTAGTTGAAGTTAGGACTTAATTTGTTAGTCACTTATGTAAAACCTATCCAAATCTACTAGTCCAGTTAACACTACCCCCTCCAGGGGATGACCAAGGGTGGCTACACCACTCCTCCATAGATACAATGAAGGACTGAGCGTAGCCCTCCTAAGGCAGGAAGTGTGTTGTGTTGTGTTGTGACTGGCTGGATCACTGGGTGAAAATAAAGGAAAAAATGATAACGAATACAGCCCCCACATCTATGGAATGGTAAACTGCAATGCATTACATTTTTTCTTTTGGGTTTTGATACACTTTAAACCCAGGTCTACCCTTGGCAGTGTTAAGTGTACACTGTCAAGGTATTATATTTGAGAGATACACATACCTTGCTTATAATTGTTGGATTAATAGCCCTGTATTTTGCCATGTGCTGATGTATCTGAAGTAATGATTTTAATGCTTTTATGGGTTAGGGGGCTTATATATTTTGGAGTAACAAAATAACAAATACTGTTTGAACTTTATTAAACTTTGGGGTTTACCATGTGCAGTCTTAAAGCCCATCTGTGGGCACAAATAAAATCAAACCCAATTGGGTGTAAAAAAAAGTGTTTATCTAAATAACGTGTGCTAAACATTTGCTGGTGCCAAAATGTATCATGCAAAAACTCATGCACTAAAACAAATCTCAAAGCTAAAGTACTCTGAAGTGGGCGAAGACAGCTTTTGGGTCAATCACGCCAAGTCCTAAATAGAAGCTATACAGTTTTTCTATTTTTTTTTAAGAAGCAAAAAGTTGTTAAGAAATCACCTTTTCTTACCTTTGTTAAATAAACACTGTTTCTTACCCTTCTTCCCATGACCACGAAGCTCCACTTTATTTGATGTTAGATAGATATTAAATACATGACAAAAGGATTCATAGAGCATCATGGCTAAAGGGACAACACAGCCATGTGACTGCCCTAACCAAGGAGAATCTTTCTGAGCTGAAACTTGGTCCCAGAAGTAAGAATCACTTCTCATTGGTAAGCAAGTTATTGTGAATGCCCTGCCCAATGAGAATCTTTCTAAACCAGTACCAGGTCCTGGAAGTAAGAAGCACTTCTCATTGGTTAGCGTGGTACTGTGTTGGTGCTGACCAATGAGTGTTCTCCATTTGCGAGCATTATGATAATTACAGACTGCAGAGCTGTGAAATGCAGTGTATGGAGTACAAACCACTACGTGAGGACATCACACAGCTAGGTGCAGAAGAGGAATGATCAGCAGATCCAGAGTTGTAGGCTAATAATTTCATTTATGAATCTCTACTTTTCCTGTAAATGGTGAGCCTGGTCCAATCATCCCACCTCCAATTGAGGAAGCCTATCACACTAAAGGATCAATAGAAAAACTGGGGGGTATTAACTAAAGCCACAACATTTCATTTTGCATGAAATAGAGAGGGTTCCCTTAACTTTCTGTTTTGCTGACACATCAGGAAGTAAGAGGAAATCTCTTTGAGTGAGGGAAATGCCCTATTCGACAGTCGTAACTGCAACTGTCTCTATAAGAGGATTCCCCCTCTATTCCTGTTCTAGTGGCAACTCAAAATTTAGCTTTATTCTTCACTATAAGTCCTAGTGACAATGCTCTATCAACAAATTGAAAGAATGCATCTACCCAATGGGCACATACATAAAAACCTGACACCAATTACCACTCTATCCAAAACTAAAATAAAAATGTTGGCTTTAGATACACTTTAAGATCCACCTATACATTCAGCAGGCTATATCACTGGTCCTACTGATGGTTTTGAGGTGCAGTTGTCACTGAATGCAAAGTTTGAATTGTCCAGTTTTGTGACAAGTTTACATCATGCACACACATCTTTATGGTCACATTTATGCCACCCCAGCTATTCCTATTTTTTCAAGAAGAAATATGGTAAGCAGCACATTCCCTTATGAGAACACTAGAGCTTTTAAGTTGATTTGCTTCAGTGCATGCAAAAGCAGTTGGTGGTTGAAAAACCAAAGTTCTATTAGTATGACAGAAGGAGGAAAGCCATTTATTTTTCCAGACACACAAGACTGGGGCAAATGACAGCTAATGAAACCGCTAATATGCTCCAGTGTCTTAATAGAACCATGGGTTGCAGACATCCTGTTCTGTGGCTTGAGGTTAAGCAGTTGACCAGTAATTCTCACCCTGGATAAGCCCAAATGTTTACTAAAAATAAAGTCACAAACATTAAACATCATCAAACTGCATAATGGTATAGTTATTTACAGTTCATTGTCTATATTTAGAAATTACCTTGATTTTATTTCAGACTACATGTTGGCAGATTAAACTAAAAACTAACTCTGTTTCATTTTATATTCATTAAAGATATAACATGTATTATGTATTCCTTTATGAAAATGAGCATAATTGAAAAATATTCAGCAGTCATACTTAAAAAAAGTGTCTTTACATGCAGTATTCTACATATGTGCCTCAAAAATGTAATTTGCAGCATGCAGTACATCAAGCCTGATTCATCTATTGTCAGTGCACCAACTGGTAACTATGCAGTAATTGCTACATACATTAGTTATTGTTTGATCGTAAGCTATACTTATACTGCATCTCAATTATTATCCATTTAAAATGAGTATTGTGCTGAAGGTGGGACTCTGAGAAACTACAAGTATGAAAAAATAGATTATTGGCATGTTACAATATTCAGAAACAGTAAACCTACAGTCAAGTGACTTTGCCAAGACACGAGATTCTGGGACAATTATATCATCGTTGTGCTGCAGCAGGAAGAGGCATTTCCTTGGTCTTCTCTTCCCCAGTGATCTGACTGCTGCATTGTAAATTTGCTGGAATTGGCAAGGTAAGAGGCAGCAGCAAGGAACTCACCTGTATCAAATGAGTCAGCATCTCAGTCCAGGAAGTAGCTGCTAACCCTAAATATGAACAAAGATGGTGTCACTACAGAGTAAACAGATAAAGTCATTGTCATTGTGACCTATGTGATAGGTAATACATACCAGTAAGTGTCAGAATTACACACTACTTAGCATAACATGTGCCTAACATGAAAACATACCGTATTTCTGATCGTAGGTCCATTTTAAAATGAAGGAGAAGCACAAGCATTTGCTGAGCTGTCCAGCGCTGAACTTGTGTTTTTACAAGATCAACATCGAATCGTAAATGTTTTTGACCGATTTATATTATTAAAGAGAGATATTTAACAATGAACCAACAAATATGGACCAAACACATAGCCTATGGTCTAACATTCCTATTCTTAGATAGCCCACAAGCATGTGGTCCCCCTACTACATTGATCCTAGCCTGTATACCTGTCAATATCCAGCTGGGGTTGTAAGTGGAAAGGGGCCACAATAGCCATTAAAAAAACATTTAGGGCTTGTTTCCAGTCTGCGCATCTAC